AGAGGGGAGGTGGCACATTCTCCACCACCACCATTACTGGTTTGGGGACATCTCGGAGACAGCAAGCCTCCCCTGCCTGCGTGTCGGGGAACTGCTTCATAAACTGCACCCTCCCGTGAATCCAAACCGGTGCCTCTCAGAGAGGCGAGACCCTTCGCAGCCCCGGGTCTGGGTGCAGACCGATCTCCTCCCTCAGCACTGGGCTGTGTGGCAAGGAAAATTGTGCCGAAGCAGAAAGCTGCCGTTACTGTCCTGGCAAGCTGTGTAACTCCAAGTACCACACACACTCCGTACTTAAAGACACTAGTTTCCCAAACTAAGAAAAGTTGCAAGTGAAACTGAGTGTAAAAATTTATTAGGAAGAAGCACATATTAAATGGCCAAAAAGCCATTACTTCACAGTAAAGGAGCTGAATAATATTGGTGAAAAGACCATTCTCTTTCAGCGGAAGAATGAAGGCAGGAATAACGAATTAAAAAGCAATATGCAACATATGGGAAAAAGGGGGAGGTAGTGAAAATCCATATAAATAAGAATTTATGAAGTGTAGAAAATTGATAACAGATACTAAAGATATCAGAAAAAAAGTCCATGGATGGTCAGGCTTTATTTAAGAAGAGTTTTTTGAAAAGTTATGAATAATAGCAGAAAAACTATCAATGCTGTAGTCTTATTACTAGCTGGAGACAGCCAAGTCATTAATAATGATGAAGAAAGATGCAAAACTGTTCAACAATTATTTCTGCTCTCTATTTGGAATAATGTATTTTCTGACATATTACTAATTAAGAAAGGTATTGGACAACTTGCATTAGGGTTAACAATTTCTAAATCTGAAGGTCCACAGAAGTGGCCCCCAAGAGTCAATGCAGGATATTTTCAGCTTGTGCGTGTAAATTTTTAATAAATCTTGAAATAATGTGGAAATTCTCAGAGGTCAATGTCAATATTGTGTAAAAATTCCAAGACAAATGAAACCACGCAGGTAAATATAGTCCAGTTTACTTGATAGCAATCCTAGGCAAAGTAAGGGAAAAATTGATAGAAGATTTAAAGTGAATATAATTATGTATTGGGTTTGCGTGGCAAGGTTTTGGTAGCGGGGGGCCACAGGGGTGGCTGCTGTGAGAGGCTGCTGGAGCTTCCCCTGTGCCTGACAGAGCCAGTGCAGCCGGCTCCGAGAGGGACCCGCCGCTGGCCAAGGCCGGGCCCAGCAGCCATGGCGGTAGCGCCGCTGGGGCAACGTATTTAAGCAGGGGGAAAAAAATCCCAGAAAACCGTTACAGAACTGCAGCCAGAGAGGGGAGTGAGGGTACGTGAGAGGAACAACCCTGCAGGCACCAAGGGCAGTGAAGGAGGACGGGGAGGAGGTGCTCCAGGCACCGGAGCAGCCCGCGGGGAAGCCCACGGCGAGGCAGGCCGCGCCCTCGGCCCGCGGGGAAGCCCACGGTGAGGCAGGCCGCGCCCTCAGCCCGTGGGGAAGCCCACGGTGAGGCAGGCCGCGCCCTCGGCCCTCGGGGAAGCCCACGGTGAGGCAGGCCGCGCCCTCGGCCCGTGGAGGTTAACGGTGGAGCAGTTACCCACCTGCAGCCCGGGGAGGGCCCCACGCCAGAGCAGGTGGATGCCCAAAGGAGGCTGTGACCCCGTGGGAAGCCCACACTGGAGCAGGCTCCTGGCAGGACCTGTGGGCCCGTGGAGAGAGGAGCCCACAATGGGGCAGGTTTAGTGACAGGGCTTGTGGCCCTGTGAGAGACCCACGCTGGAGCAGTCTGTGCCTGAGGGATGCACCCTGTGGGAGGGATCCACGCTGGAGCAGCTCGGGAATATCTGCAGCCTGTGGGGAGGGACTCATGCTGGAGAAGTTTGTGGAGGACTGTCTCCTTTGGGAGGGACCCCATGCTAAAGCAGGGGAGAGTATGATCAGTCTGCCCCCTGAGGAGGAAGGAACAGCAGAGACAACGTGTGATGGACTGACCACAACCCCCCACTCCCCATCCCCTTGTGCTGCTCAGGGGCAGGAGGTAGAGAAATTGGGAGTGAAGTTAAGCCCAGGAAGAAGGGAGTGGTGGTGGGGGAAGGTGTTTTAAGATTTAGTTTTTGTTTCTCAATGCCCTACTCTGATTTTATTGGTAATAAATTAAACTAATTTCCCCAAGTTGAGTCTGTTTTGCCCATGATGGTAACTGGTGAGTGATCTCTCCTGTCTTATCTCAACCAATGAACCTTTCATTATTTTTTCTCTCCCCTGTCCTGCTGAGGAGGGGAAGTGATAGAGCGGCTTTGGTGGGCACCTGGCATCCAGCCAGGGTCAACCCACCACAAATTAATATGGCCTTACTGAGAAGACATTTGTGATTTCAGACTGATCTCCTGAGGTGGGAAGCGCAGCTGACAAAGGGTAACCAGGCAGGACCAATCTGTGTAACGAGCAAGGCTCGAGCATGCAGGACACCCAGGACCAAGGCACCTAAGACCAAAGTGCTGCTTCCCCTCCGTGGCCAAGAAAGATTCTGTAATTCCTCCCTCCAGCTGTCCCCTAGCCCTGCGAGGAGTGGGTAGCCCCCATGGCTGGGGCCATGCAGTGACACAGGAGGCACAAAGGAAAAGCCACAAGAGCCAGGGACAAGGAGTTTGACTTGTCCTGGGGAGGGGGGAGGTGGGAGGTGGAGGAACCCGCTGGCTCCTGGTGGCAAGGGTGGCTGGGATGGCCAGGGCAGTGGATGCAAGGGGGCTGGGGCTGTAACAGAATAAAAGACACCATGATAGGCGCAGGGGGTCAGTGGGGCAGGAGGCAGGAGTGAAAGCAAGACCAGCAGGAAGGTAGCAGGACAAGTTGCTTAGGGGCAGAATGAGAAATGTCTGATTTTGGCAATAAGATAATGTTTCTGGAAGAACTGCATCCTGAGAAAGGGACAAGGCAGGTTCCCATGGTAAAAGCAGTTGGCTGTTGTGCCGTGGCCCACTGCACTGTCACATGCGTGCAGTTCTTGCGAAAGGCAAGCATTTGACGTTGACCACTGATTTTTGCAAGTGTAGAGATATTTCAAATGGCTTTTCCATTTTGATTTGTTGCTCTTTAATGCAGAAAAGTCATTCAGATCAATGAATAAGGTGATTACACAGCAGCCTGAAAGGAAATAAATGAAGTGGGGGTGGAAAACAGGGCAGTGTAGGTTGCTTCAGGAAGTAAGGGGAGCAACTGGGCTGTAGGCTGTTCAGATGGCAAAGAAATAAAAGATAAAAAGGAGAAAAGGAAAGGGGCATGTGATATTGACTTTAGAAGCTTCATCAAATGTCCTTAACCGGCTTTCATGAAATTATGAGTGTGTGACTGAACTACCCTCCTAAAGGTGTGCTCCAGCAGATTAGCAGGGAATACAATGGTCATTTTTCTCTTGGAGCTGTTGAATTCCTTCCTTTTATTGAATCAGTGAATTGCAGATTTTGCTTATCAAAGGTCCACGTTCCCTTGGAGCTGTTTGATGATGAGCCATATTCTGCCTTGACTTCCATCCCAGGCATCCCCACCAAGTTCAATGACATCTCGTGGAGAGTAAAGCAGGGCAGACGTAAGCTTGATGTTTTTAAGTGTTGTGGCTGCTAATGAAGCATGATCTGATCTGGTACATGTTCAGAGACTGTCGTCAATGTCTGCAGCAGAATAGACCGTCTTTAATGTGAAGATATGATTGATTCATCAGTACGTCATGTGTACAGGAAAGTAGAACGAGTATTCTGTTTTGTTTGATTTTGTATCCATCGAGGATAAAACATGCAAGATGCAGTTTGGGCATTTTCAGCAATGGAAAGGTTTCCTTTTCCCCTGCTCCTGTCTCATCCAAAAGTAATGGAGCTGTCTAGCTTATTAGATAGCATGGGCAAGTTTTAAGACTCCCATTATAAAAAAAAAAAAAAAAAAAAAAAGAATGGGAATTTTGCTTTTATAAAGAAGAATTGCAGAACTGGAAATGATCCATATTTGAGACATAAATGCAAGCTGTTATGCAGATCGAAGTATCTATTTGGAGCCGAATTACTCAACAGCATCTATCTATGCCTCTTCAACACCTGCAGATTAGCAATGTAATCGTGTGGAGGTTGCTATAGCTACATCTCCAGAGCAGGTGGAGTTCTTCGTCTCTTGGAGCATTATGTTCGTTCTTTGCAAATAAACCATGTAAGAGTATATTTGAAATGTCACCCTAGCAGCATCAGCCCCTGTCTCTAGCTGACACTGTCACATGAGATCTGTCTTTACCCTATTAGTCCTGATTGTTTTGTCTAGAAACAATGCCACTTCTGTCTGAGTATCATGCCTTCCCCATAAATACATGTGAACAGGCACCAGGGCCTTGCCAATCCAGACCTAGTAAGGTCATAAAGCAAGTGCTTGAGTTTAAGCTAAGGAAGACTTCTCGAGTCTATCTAGCAGATATGTAGTCTTGCCTCAGGGTTGATGGCGTGTAAGACTGTCAACTGGAGCTAGATACAGCACATAGCAAAACTACCAGTCTTTGACAACAGCAATTTCCAGGGTCTGACCGAGTGCTCAGACTGCGGTCAGGCAGTGGGGGTGCTGGTTGTGATGGTTTTCAGCTGGTTGTTTGCCTAAGTCTCTTCCCAAACAAGGGTTCTGCTTGCATTTTTGCGTCAAATACTTCAGCCTTCTTGTTTGGGCTGCCCCGCTGTTTACTCTAACAAACAGTTGCCCAGATGACCTTTCCTTCTAGCTGGCTGTCTGCAGTGACTGGCATATGCTGTAACCCTTAACCCTCTGCCAGTCAAGCTCACAACATGCTAACCTGTGTGAAAACTCAATAGCAATCCCTGTACAAAAAGCTGATAGACTAGAAGAAGAGCCCTGACAAGCAGAAAAAAGAAAAAAAAAAAAATAGACAAGAAGCTAAGAAGAGAAAGTACCAAAGAGTAGATAAAAACCAAATCAGGATGCTTTGACTTGTCTAATTTTGTCATTCTCCTTGTTTGTCTTCTGCTCTAGCTCTGCATCAAGTGCAAGCTTTTCATTCTCCAGAAAAGGCAGGTAAGGAGATATTTACTTACTAGAAATTGTCAACAACAGCAACAACAACAGAAGATGGTTTCCCTCTCTGGAAATTTTTAATTTCTACAAGAGAAAGCTGAATATAAGAAAATGCTCCAAACATAGCAATAGTCCAATAGGTCTTTAACAGAAAGCTCCAGTTTTCCCCAGAAAATAGATGCTTTGAAAGGGTATTTAACAAAAAAGTAGAAATTTTTGCCAAGCAGTAGAATGACCAACTTAATCCTCAGCACCACTCTGTTTCCACTTACTCCTTTTCTCTCCAGTTTGTTTTTGTCCCTTAGGTCTTTTCTCTGATACGCTGACTCTTTAATTTTTCCAAATTCCTGGAATATGTATGCTCCTTGGAGCCTGCTAACTTTTGTCTGCCCTGAAAAGCAGTGCTGTAAAATTTATTTCCATAAATTCAGGCAGATAAAAATATATTCTGTTGCTTTGAGACAAATCCGTCTTCAGGTCAATTGGTGCAGTACATGTCATGACTGTATTTTTCTCTCTGTCTTCAGACTGTTACCTTTCAGGCAGTTTCTTCTGTGTGTTCTCCAGGCTGCTGGTACCAATGACAATAACAGAGAGACCACTCATTATGAGAGAGACTGTTTAGTGACTGTTTTTTCCACTTATTTCAGGAATGGCTGTTGAAAAATGTGAGCCAGACAAAGGCAGCACAGAGGAAATCACATCAACCTTGCTTTTCGTTTCTTCCGATGCTGTCTTGGTCATCGCTGGCAATCAAAATGTCGCCAAAAGTAGTAATGGCTTTGAGATGGATATGGGGTTAAAGCACAGAAGTGAAGCCAGCCACAGAGCTGTGTGCTGCGAGGGACTGCTCCTCCCACCTAGGTGCTGAATTCTCCTCAGCCCTGAGCCATAACAGAGTGGGAATTAAGCTTTCGTAAATGTACAACTTGGGGAAGGTGTGCCCAATCAATGGACAGCTATGAAAATGGATTAATTTGTTTTTTCAAGTTTTAAGTCCAGAATTAGGCTTCTTTTTTTTTTTTTTTTTTCTCTTTGGGCTGTTTTTTCTCTAAAGCCCATTATAATTTGTAAACTGTTAATTTTGTACTGCACCAAATTAAGAGGAACATTTGTTCATAATTTAGCTGCCAGGAACTTGAGTTTGCTTTTTGTGACCTGCCTGGCAAACAAAAGATGTTCACAAATTTGCTATACACACACTTGCATGACCAAGGTTTTCAAAAGCAGCTGGCAACGTGGGAGACTGTGGTTCCCTACCCTGAGACTCCCACAGTGGGCTCCCTTCCCTGAAAGCAAGCCTTCCTTAAGACATCTCCAATCAAGCAAATAAAATTTTAGATATATGCTGTATCATTAGTAACTTCTGAAGCAAGAAACTTTAACCAGCAAAAACAAAGAAAATGGTCTTAATAATTGCCAATGTGTCCCTGTTACCCATGGCACCTGCAGAGCTTTTTCTGAAGGGGAAAAACTCTTGCTTGGAAGTGTCCTGGATGATTTTGTTATAGAGAAAATAAAAGAAGATCAGTCCGTTTGAAGTGATAACAATCAGTACTTAGGCTGGGGCCATAATCTTGTTTCTTACCTTAAAGAAATGCAAAGGTAAGAGAAAAGACTACAAAACATAACATCTGGTTTTTTTTTTTTTTTTTTTTTTGGGGGGGGGGAGTGTGTGGGTGCAGTGGGGGGCAGAGGAAGCCTATCTCCATCCTGCAGTACAGCACCGTGCTCGCGGCCCCCTAACTGGGCTTGGCCCTGGACGCAGCCGGTGCGATGCCCTACCCCGGGGGGGGGCCCTCGGTGGGAGCACAGCCCCCCACGAGCCCAGTGCCACCAGCACTGGCTGCTGGCCAGAGCCCGGGGCACGCTGGCCAGTGCTGGGGGCACGCTGGCCAGCACCTCGCTCCCCGCCCCGGTGCCCCCCGGTGATCCAGGGGCCAAGGAGACGCGGCGGGTCGCCCCCAATTCACAGCACAGCTCCCTCTCTATTCCCATTGGTATGGAAATTGTTTCTTGAGGCAGCCCTAATTTTCCTTTCATCAATCAATTAGGGGCAGGCTTTGCACTGAGTTGTTTGTTTCGCCAGCACTGCTCCATTTGATATTATTTTCTCCATGACAAATTAACCACAGCTGGACCTGTCTTGAATTGCTAAGGATGCTCTTATATAAAGTGAAAGAAAAAAAAAGGAAAAAAAGGGATAGTAAGCATAAGAAGCAGGAATAAATTGATATTTCTGAAGGGAAAGGAGTGGAAATAGCAGGTACCTGGCAGCTGCCCAAGGAAGAGGATGTCCTCTGGCTGCCCATCTTGTTAGGTCTCACCATCTCCCAGGGTCAGGCAGGCTAACAGTGTGGTACAAAATCCATAGCTGCTGGGTGTATTAGTGGTGACACTCCTTGTTATGCTGAGCTATGTAACCAGCCAGGAGCTTTCTGAAAAAGTCCTGTAATGAGGCTCTCCGTTATCCCTTTACCACAGACTCAGTCAAGGCAAGACTCCCATGTCCTATGTAGGGACATGTCCTCTCAGGCAATAAGAAAAGGGGGGGGAAAAAAAAAAAAAAGTTCTATTTTTGCTACTATAAAAATCTGGTGGTACCAGGAGCTTTGAAATTCTCACATCATGTGCTCCTTTAGTTCAAAAAAAATGATTTAACATTTTCCCTCTGCCTTCCTCCACCTTCTATGCTTCATTGCGGCAACAGTCTCCCATAACACATTAACAGATTAAAAATAACCTTCTGCCACCCTTCATCTACTTTGGCCAATTTAAAACTAGACAAACTACCCTAGGCACTGTGGAGTAGAAGCAGCAATGTGTGCACGGGTGTGCGCATATGGGCTTTGACCTAAGAGGAACAATTCTAATAGTAAGAGGCAAGAGGTTATTTTTATTTCTAAAATATCAGATTTTGCAACCCCCTTTTTCAGCTGCTTTTTTTTTCTCTTCTGCTGAGACAATCAGCCAAAGGTCCAGAAAAGTAATAATTGCAACTATTGTGTGACAGGAACAATGACTCATGAACAACAGGATGCAAAAAAAACCCGTCAATGCATTCATCTTTCCTGAAGCGATCAGGTCCTGATGACTCGAGCTCAGCGCGCGTCAGGGAGAGCTACGCGCAGAGCAGCAGGGAGAGCTGTGGTTTGCATTGGCCCCGGGTGCGGATGTTTCCTGAAGAGTTGTGTGAGAAGGACCTATTAACCACCAACCCGTGCCCCCCACCTCCGTATGGGGGTATTTTGAGAGGACCTTGACTCACAGGCGTCGGTGAAGGAGTGAGCGCAGCACCACGTGCAGAAACTGGTACGTCCCTACAGCAAGCGCAGCCTTTGTGCTTGCAAGGAAAGCCACAAGGAATCCAAGGAATACAGGGGCTTGGAAATACATCTTTATATCGTAGGTGTTCTTGCACAATTAAAATAACCACGATTCCTGTATGAGCAGGAAGAGGCTGGACAGGAGCAAAAAGCCTGTGGGGAATGGGGGAAAGAGGAGCTGTGAGCTGTGTCCCCTGCCCACCCGACGGCTGAACGGCTCAGGGCACCTGAGATCTGGCTGTGCAGAGGGCAGGGGAGGAAAACTGGACAAGAGCAACCCCAGCACTCTGCTGGCAGACAACACTCACCTGTAGAAAGGGCCATGTAGGTGGGCCACGTAGGTGGACAATTGTCATCCCAGCTGACAGTCACTGCTGGTTTTCTCCTATTTTTCATCTCAGTGTTCACACAGAATGTTTTGTGTAACAACTTAAGATACAAGTCCCTTTAGCAAGGATTTGGAACAGGTTTTTCTCGAACATTTAATAATTTGCTTCAGAGATCACTTGTGTTGGTTATTAAGTGGTGTTAACCAGGTTCAATCAATCTAGTAACTGGGATGGATGGCAAATTATAGAAATTTCTGGGTAACCTGAGCTGACACAAAATCTGTTTCCCCATTGTGGTCCCTTGAGCACATGCAAAAATCAATAGCTCGAAAGTTTGTCAATGTCTTTCTCCCCACATGAACTCCATTTTTTTTTTTTTTTTCCCAGCTGTTACTCATTTACCTACCAAGGCAGCCAGATGCTTTCCTGAGGATCGCCGCCAATGTTGCGTCATCAAAGGTGAACTGATGTCAAGACACTGCAGAGGACATGCTGAGAGACTGAGCTTATGCAGAAACCATGGTTTGTTTCCCCAGATCTTCACACACATCTGTACTTACCCACTCACGCACATAATGCTGAAAGAGCAGCTGTTATAGGGAGAACCATCTCCTCAAACTGGTCTGCTTCCCCCAGCTCACGCCTTCTGCCTCCCTCCCTCTGTGAGATGCACCAAATTTCAGGGCAGACCAAAAAACCCTATTCATTTGGACCTATCCATGACCTGAACTTGATCAAAAAAGCATCCCTGCCAAACCTGTAAAATGAGGAGGGTTTGGGGGGACTGCTTTCTCCTATGATTTGATATAGAGCTGTTCATTGCGTGTGGAAAAACATTATCATCTTGTTAGAGAAGTCCTGGAGCATTCTCTCGTGCTGCTGCATGGCTGCATCTCTAGCATAAATCAAGGACCCTAAGCTGATCTAATGTCTGCCTTATTTACTATGCAGAGTTTTAAATTATATATTTAGGATTGTTGTTGTTTTTTGCCTTCATCTGAATTTAAAAACAGTTCCCAGCAATGGAGTATTGAACAAAAACTTTGAGATTGATGGACTTGGTTGGTTTTGTGTGGGGAAGTAAAGGGTGTTTCAGCTCTGACAGTTGTACTTCAGATTCCCTACTTAGTTGGTAATTTTCTTTAAGATTTAAATACTCTCCAGGATGGAATTAAAATTGTACTTTTCAAATTTAGTGCACATTAGGACTTGTAAATTCTCTGGTGGTACACTAGCCTGGGGAAAATGCTCATTAATATCTGTTATTGTTTTACTATCAATAATTCTTAAGGCCTGTTCCACAAATACTTTGAGTAAAAAGCTTAGTGGCAATTTCCTCAGTGCTCTTAGGATCATGAGGGTGGCAACAGAAAACAGTTATAACACTGACTTTTTTGATTTGCTCTGCCGAATCATTTAGCAAATAATATCAGCACCAAGGTGGGAGCAGTCGTCTCCCATTCCCCTGCTCTGCAGCTCTGAACCAATAGCTCCCACCTTTCCTGCACGTAGGGACCAATTATTTTGTGTTATTATACATTCTCTTAAAATCAAGCCTTTCCCTTCATGCACGAAAACTTTGACGTGATATTTCTCAGCTTTCAGTATTACTGAGCAACACCTAGAGTTTCCAGCGACGCCACTTTGGACAGCCCCGCTGGTGGGCAGAAGGTGGGGAAGGAAGAGGGGAGGTGGCCACTGGGAGGAGTTGGGGGAATGGAGAAGACGTGCCCACCGTCCCACTGCTTTCCTGTGCAGGTGAACCCTTCAGCTTGCCCGGACTCAGCAGAAACCTGGCCTCCGTGCCCACACAGCTCACACCACACTCCTGGGGTTTAATTCTCCTGGGCAAACCAGAGGTTTTATTCTGGTGGGGACTCTCATGCTCTTTTTCTCCAGCAAGCACGGAACTTCTTCCACCGGTTGGGTGTCAGCTGATGAGGTACTAGAGAGTTGGATGATGAAATCCCCAGTCTGATGCCGCTTCTTCTCTGAAATAATGCTCCAGCACTGACATCCACTTACTTATCTAAACACCGGCTAACTTTTTGTCTGTTTTCTCTAAGCTGTTGTGGGTTTTGTTTCCAGTAGGCGTATTACTTGATTAATGATCTTTCTGTTAACACTTGCTCATATTCCATATGGGATCTTCTTGGGTTATCTAAATGCACAAAATACTTAAAACAATCTTTTTTTCTCGGCTCAACTCTGGTTTTAATAGCACAATATATTTCTCCCTACTCCAAAGGAAAAAAAAAAGCATTTTCTAGTTTGTCCAAGCTCACGTTGAATGTTACTTGTGATTCATGTTGTCACCTTGTATAGTATTCCAAGAAAACAGAGCATAGATGGGTTCTGTCAGGAAAGGTTTTGTAATGTATTTGTCATTTCTCTCTGTCTAGATTAAGGGCTAAATTTTGTGATGGTAGATGAATTTGTAGACCCCATCTTTCTGAAATCACACCAGGTATTCAAAAGAGGGAGGCTGCTTTTCTTTCAGCCAATGATAATAACAGTTCCTTGGATGCAAATCGAAAAATATTTACATCGGTATAAATAAGGAGTGTGTAACTATAAATAAAGAACACAGGTAATAAAATGTTATCATTGAAGTTGAAATTAAAATTGAATCCTGCCAAGCCCTAAACATAGATCATGACAGAAAAATCCAATACAATTTTTTTTTTTTTTTTTTTGGAGGTGTTGTAATTATAGACTAGGTGAAGGGAAAAAAACATTATACAGCAGACATAATTTGTAATGATCTCAGGAACATTTCTGATGTAATTCCATGAGAAGAATGACTACTTGTGCATGGCATCTGCATGTGCATCTACATCCCCCTGCCATGCAGTGCCATCTGCAGCACTTAACTTTTAATACGAGTGATGCCACAGGGTGTATGACCACGGGCTGTATGCCCACAGGGTGTATGCCCACAGGCTGTATGCCCACAGGGTGTATGACCACGGGCTGTATGCCCACAGGCTGTATGCCTACAGGGTGTATGCCCACAGGGTGTATGACCACGGGCTGTATGCCTACAGGGTGTATGACCACGGGCTGTATGCCCACAGGGTGTATGCCTACAGGGTGTATGCCCACAGGGTGTATGACCATGGGCTATATGCCCACAGGCTGTATGCCTACAGGGTGTATGCCCACAGGGTGTATGACCACGGGCTGTATGCCCACAGGCTGTATGCCTACAGGGTGTATGACCACGGGCTGTATGCCCACAGGCTGTATGCCTACAGGGTGTATGACCACAGGCTGTATGCCCACAAGGTGTATGACCACGGGCTGTATGCTCACAGGGTGTATGACCATGGGCTGTATGCCCACAGGCTGTATGCCTACAGGGTGTATGCCCACAGGATGTATGACCACGGGCTGTATGCCTACAGGGTGTATGACCATGGGCTGTATGACCACAGGGTGTATGCCCACAGGCTGTATGCCTACAGGGTGTATGCCCACAGGGTGTATGACCACGGGCTGTATGCCCACAGGCTGTATGCCTACAGGGTGTATGACCACAGGCTGTATGCCCACAAGGTGTATGACCACGGGCTGTATGCTCACAGGGGGTATGACCATGGGCTGTATGCCCACAGGCTGTATGCCTACAGGGTGTATGCCCACAGGATGTATGACCACGGGCTGTATGCCTACAGGGTGTATGACCATGGGCTGTATGACCACAGGGTGTATGCCCACAGGCTGTATGCCTACAGGGTGTATGCCCACAGGGTGTATGACCACGGGCTGTATGCCTACAGGGTGTATGACCATGGGCTGTATGACCACAGGCTGTATGACCGAAGAAGATGCACCAGTGCCCCACTGGTTGACTCCTGCCAGGGTGGTCCCTGCCCCTGCCCCCCTGTAACCTGATGCCCCTGCCCTGGGGGAATCCCTGAGGTAAGACCCAAAGACAAATTGGGAAGAAGTTTCCAAACCTGGGCAGAAGCTCCATGTAACCAACAGCCAGGTGACAGCTTGCAGACTGTGATGACAGGGGGTTGTGGCACAGGGCCACCCCTCAGTCGAGCCCCAGCTGCTGACCATTCACCCCCATCGCAGTCTGACCTGCCACAGCTGAGAGGTGCCTGTCTCCCCCACCCCGGGCTGTCCTGGGGTGCTTGCTCTCGACACAGGTCCCACTTGCCCTCCCTGTCTCTGGCCCAGCAGACCTGGGCTCCACTCCTTTCCTGCAGGCAGTTTATCCATGCTGTGTCTAACTGCTTGTGGGCAGTGGTTTTGCAGAGAGAGAGAAATTAAGAAGCCCTTGCACAGGGGGGATATGCTGACTGTGCCTAAACCCAAGCCTTTCATCTCAAAGAAAGTTACTTTCTTGTCTAAAGGGGTTGGTCTGAGCGCTGTGCCCTCCACTGGCAGAGCAGGAGAAGATTTGCATCCACCGGGAGCACGGACGGGTGTGGAAAGGCTCAGGTGGGCTCAGAAACCCCCTCAGAGCTGTTCATGCCAAAGTGGAAAGCATTCCCTTTCAGTTACCGGGAGTGGAGTCTCTTGTTGCCGCTCTGGAAAGCAAGGCTTGAGGCCAAAAGCAATTTCTTGTACTTCAATAGCTGAAAATAAAGCTTTAAAAAATAAGAACATGTCAGGGAATTAAATGAGAACCACAAATTTAGCAGGGCTAGTGATTGCCCAGGAGAATATTGAGGAGAAATGTATAGAAAAGAGGGGTTTTGAGACACAGTTAAGTGAATTACTGGTCCCATTCGTAACATCTGTTACAGTCCTGGCTGCTGGGTATTTACTTTCAAAGAAATCAGCTTCCACTACTGTCTGCTGAAGAGCCCTAAATCAGGTGTGCAGATGCAATTGCTGAAAATGAATCTGTCAGAGAAAATCTCACGTAACCAAGGAGTCCTGTTTGGGCTCCCCTCCTGACCCAGCTTTGCCTCAGGGATAACCTAAACCAATGTTCCTCAAACCCATTGGGAATAAGCAACACAGGTACAAGGCAGACTTACTAAAACAGTTAACAAAACTTTAAAATCTTTACCATGAGCCGGTAATGGCATCTGGGAGTTAGTCATCCACAGGGAATGTCAAATGGTGTTATCTTTGGCTCTCTATAAAAAAAAAAAGTCAGGATTATTTTAGTGCCAAACAGCAGACATAGCCTGATGCCATTTTGGAAGCACCAGCAGCCTCAGATGGACAACGTATGCCCAGAGCTTCTTGTACCTTCATGCAGCAGCAGGGACTTGTTTTGACAGGGCTGCAGTGCACAGAGCGTGACGGATGATCTGTAAAGTGAGTACAGCTGGGCATGAGATCCTCATTTGCTCCTCTGAGCTCAGGCCATTGACCTGGGGCTCTGAGCAATGAGGTCTTCATTTAACTCAATCTCTATTTAGGTGTGCCTTTCTTATTCCCTCCAACTTGTCATTTCTCTTTGACGTGTGCAAGTTTTTGTAGGAAATTACGCATGAGTATATCAAAAGCTATTTATTGACAATGTCAAGAAATCAGTATGCTAACATGTCCTGGTTTCAGCTGGGATAGAGTTAATTTTCTCCCTAGTAGCTGGTATAGTGTTGTGGTTTGGATTTAGTATGAGAATAAAGTTGTTAACACACTGATGTTTTACTTGTTGCTAAGTAGCACTTATCCTAAGTTAAGTATTTTTCACTTTCCCGTGCTCTGCCAGCAAACAGGTGCACAAGCAGCTGGGAGGGAGCCTGGCCAGGACAGCTGACCCCAACTAGCCAAAGGGATATTCCATAGCATAGGATGCCATACTCAGTACATAAACTGGGCGGGGGGGAGTTGGCTGAGTGGGGCAGATCACTGCTTGGGGACTTGTTTTTCCTGGGTTTTATTTCTCTTTTTTTGTTATCTTCCTTTTCATTATTATCATTAATAATAATAATATAAAATTAAATAATATAAGAAATAATACCATGTAGCAATCTAATAAATATAATATATAAACACACACTCTATTTATAATAAAATAATGGATACTAAATAAATAATAACTATTAATAATAATTTATTTTATTTCAATTATTAAACCGTTTTTATCTCAACCCACAAGTTTTACTTCTTTCTCCGATTCTCTCCCCCAGCCTCCTGGCGGCGGTGGGGAGGAGTGGGCGAGCAGCTGCGTGGTGCTTAGTTGATGTCTGGGGTTAAAACATGACATAATGTTTCTGGTTTTCAGACATATTTTGGGCATGTTGGGTTTTTTGTTGTTGTTGTTTTGGGTTTGATTGTTGCTTTTTTTTTTTTTAAATAAAATTTTGCTCAAGGGACTGCTGTTGACTGAGGTTGTGCAGCAAGTGCTTGCTGCAGTCCCTGCTCTGCACAGCAAAGACCCATGGAAGCCAATTGAGCCACGGCTCCTGATTAACTTCAGGCAAAAGTCTCTGAGCCCTCCTGAAAGGGGATGGACTGCTATTCAGAGCAAAGATTTCTGTACTGTCGCTTCTGTGAAACAGGCAGAAAAAAGCAAAGGCATTAACTTCTCACAGCCTTTGTCAAAATTACTCAGAACACCTTTGCCCACAAAGACTGGATAGCTCAGATGAAAATGTTGACATAAAAGTTTAAGTTTCACAAAGATTTCCAACATTTTTTTTAAAGAAGATACTAGGTTTTGCTTCTTTGCCTTCTCTCTTTTTACTCAAGTTTGGGCAAGGGGGAAAATTTTAAACACAAGTTTTATATTTCATGAGAAAAGATGGTATTTTTCTTCCTTTTCTGAAAAAAAAATCCTATTTTCACCTTTCAAATTATTTATCAAAACATTTTTATTTCCCTCTGCACTTTGGACATTTGATCTCTATGAGGCAATGCTGTGTTTAACCTTGCTAGCTCTGAAAGCAATAAAATATAAAATGAATAGGTGAAAAGGGGCAGTAAATTCCCATTGCATTATTATCTGGCAGGTTCTGAGTCACAGGAAGATGTCAACAAAATAAAATTTATTTAATATTGATGAACGTGACATTAATGCACCTGGAGAGAAATAACAACAATCAACACAGATATTTAGAAAACATTACTATAGGAAAAGACCTTGGAGTTGTAGTGAGTAATGAAGAGCGTGATAGCTCACACTGTGAGGGGGGCAATCACAATCCTGGTGTGTGTAGAGCAAAGAGGGATCTGTCATGAGACCAAAAGGGAATGACAAGTGCAGCATTATGCAGTCTGGGTAAGGCTGGAGCCGGAGCACAGCGTGCATTTTTAAGCCTCACTTTCTAAAAAGGACACTGAAAAGTGGCAGAGGACTTAAGGACGGGCAGTGGGAATGGTGAAGGGAACTGCAGGTGATGGGTGTGGTGGGAAGGCAATTCCCTGGGCAGGAGGGAGCCCCGGGACAAGCGCTAATATTTGTGTGCCGTTAGGATAGACCTTCCCTGCAGCAGAGGTGGTAAAAGGGTCTCAAATTAGAAGCGGAACAATCCCATTTAGATACAAGAGAAATGACTCGATAGTAAGGGCTATTACACAGGCAATAGAATAAACTGTCTGGTGAGCAACTGAACACAAGTCGCTACTGGTAGAAGATTTCCAAGGCGAGACTGGAAAACATAGCAATGGGATTTACCATAGAAGAGGCCTCTCAGCCTCACTGAAGCACAGCTGATCCAAAAAGTCCTTTGCTGTCATTTTCATCTGTGATTCTGGGATCTCATAGGCTGCAAAAAATGACTCCACACACAACAGAAGAGGTGATACACCCAGCTTATTAATTAAAT